ACCTTAAACACTTAAAGCTGTAAGCTAATGATATTTATATAAGAGCAGATGCTGCTGATGCAATAAGCTGTACGTTTTACGTCCAGTGGATGATGATCTGATTAGTCGACTAATCGCAAAAATAATCGGTGACTAGTCGACTATCAAAATAATCGTTTGTGGCAGCCCTACCTACCTCAGACATGAGCGAGAGAGATAAATATGAAGCTGAACCGGGGGGTGAAATTGATTTCATTGTAGTTCTTAACAGAGCTTAAATGTGTTTTTCATCCTGAACTTTCACATGGATATTTTCTGCCCAATAAATATGCTTTGAGGACTCAAAAAGGCTTAAGAAAATTCCAAAGCGCTACATTTTGATTCCTATAAACATAAAGGTGCTGTAACCCTGATAGTGTTGATGGTTTCAGGGTCTAATTTCACAGGGCTTAATTACATTTGCTAAAGTTGCTATGCAACAAAGATCAGCTCATCCTGTGGGGGTCACATGGGAAGATTTTTCCACATTTGGTTGATCTTCTGTAATGATGTGAATGACTGTGTAATGACTGAGAGAGTATGAAGAAAAAGAGTTTAAACTACTGCTGTTTCGTGTCTTGCAGATGTCGTACTGGGGACATGACGGTGAGCCCAGTTTCCTCAGGAAGGCCTTAAACCTCAGCGACTCTTTCACCTGATCCTGGACTGTCCTTCCTGTTTGGAAATCAGCAGGATTCGTTCAGCCTGTTTCAGACATCGTCCCCTTGGCCTCTCTCCTCCACACTCAGATAGGACCGGCTGCATGTAGCAAAGATGATGTCTGGCCACATGACACTGCACAGTTTTCTTAGATTTGTGAGGGGAGGGGAGGCGTGGGTGATGGCAACATCATAAAACCGTGCAGCCCAGTAGCTTTATGTGCTCGGCTTTCCTTTTCCCTTCGCTCCCTTTCTTTCCATCGTTTCATGTTTCTGCTGCCATCTGTCTCTTTGTCTTTTGCTTTCTCTCTGTCTGTTCTGACTTAGTCTCTGTTTAGAGACATGACTCTGACCCTGAAGCACAGCTCAGCTCCGAGTTTATACTGCAGGAACATCATGGTAGTGAGAATGTACCAAGCTTGTTATATATTGTGACACTTGTCAAATTTTTGAGGTCTAAGAGGTTATTTTACCTTTTTGAGTAGCAGATTTTGTTTAAGGTCAAACTGAAGTTGCTACCACCGTCTGCTCTGTAAAAGAAATGGCCCTGTTCTTTGTAGCTGGAAAGTTTACGTTTCATATGCAAAGACTTGAGATGAAACTTCTGTAAAGTCAGTCATTGGTTAGTGAAGTCCTCAAGCTCAGTCTTTTTGGCCTTACCTTCTTAATTTGAAACTAAATGTGCACCTGGATCCTGCTTTCTCCTAATTCTGGCTGTAAATTTGTAAAATGATCATCATGTTTTAGTAAAGAAGACCGAAAAATATCAGCGGAGCACATAAACACATCACCAGTATTTACTTTTCCTTCTTTCTTTTTTTTAAATTTGAGATCACTGATGAATTTTTCCCACACTGATTTCTGTACAAATGGACTGCTTTTTTAGCAGCTAGTTGAGTCGCCCCCTGCTGGCCTTTTGCATGGTCTTCACTTTCTGGAATCAGAAGCTACGTCACTAATAAGTAGACAGCAGTCTGCAGCAACACCCCACAAAAGCTTCAAACAACAGCCTGCATTAAATCTCCAGCTACATGTAAGCACGATGCTGCACGCCGACTTGCTAAGTTAGCTAACAAACATCCACTGGGTAAAAGCGCATTGCTAACAACATTAGTTTGGCTAACCAGCCGAGTCTTGGCTAACTACTGTCTGCTAGCAACTTAGTGACGTAGCATAAAGATGCCTGTGTATCATGTACTCATTTAGCGGCGCACATTTGTTAACATTATCTGCTTGCACTGACTCAGCTTTCACTGAAACATGAATGGTAACCAACTAACTCAGAGGCTGCCAGAGTGTTTTTGATGCCCCAAATCATTATTGTCTCTTCATTAACAGAAATAAGAATAGCTTTACACTTTAAAATCACTTTGACTAGACTACAGCAGACGGATATGTGATTTCAGTTGGACTTTAAATGCTAAAATGTGACCTGTGTCTCAGTGTGTTCCTCAATTTATTGACCCACTCAGTGGGAATGACTCTAGAAAGGGTGCTGCAGTCGATTGTAAGACCAGGATCGAGTTTCTGCGACTGCCCCATTCACCTGTGCTTTACACCTGCGGAGAGGGGCCAGCTGCACCTCACTATCAGTGTGACCGGACCAACTCTGACATCAGCTATTTATTCATGTTTCTCATTGTGACGCTGTCCTGCTGTCACTCGACAGATCTGAATGTACGTTTTGTTGTCGTTTTTATAAAGGTGTAAGAAAGAAGCGTCTCTCTGTTTGTGTGTTGCATTCTGCTCATTTTAATGCAAACAGCAGGGATGCTTGGCCTTATTTCTACTTTCAGCATCACCACCTGGCCTCTGTACTGTCCCAACTTTAGTTTTCTTCTTTTTTTGGTTGGCTATTCCTGGCCAACCATGCTATACCCCTCTCATCCCTTTCCTTCTGATTTGAGATTGCGGTGGAGAGGAAGAGGAGCTGCTGCATCCTGGATATGGGAGCTATCTGAGAGGGAAGACATGACCCAGATATGTCTGCTAGCTAGCTACCTAGCCTTGGTGTTTCAAACTGCTAGAACTGCAGCTTTCCTCTGCAGTGGCTGCATTGTGATCCCAATGCCAGAGGAAGGAGGAGGTAGGCTGTGTGGGTTATTGACCAGGGGAGGGCTGGTGCAGGACAGATGTCTCGCTGTGGGGAATCACCTGTTTGCGTGTGTGGATGTGGACGTCCTGAGCTGCTGGGCAGGGCAGTGGGTGCGGTGTGAGGCGGACATGGGAAACTGGGTTAAATTCCAGGCATTCTCCTACATCTGAAGCCGCACTGTTTCTGGTTTGTCTTTTCTACAACTTATCTTACATCTTGTGTGTGTGAGCGAGTCCTTTGCCAAGCCTACTGGCTATGGAAAAACAATTTAACTGGATTTAATTTGTTGCCCCCCTCCTCCTCCCCACCCACCCACTCCTCCTTCCTCTTCCCTCCTTCCCCACAGTTATTTCTTACGTCTGGGAGGTTGGGGGAATTCAGCTTGTTTAGTAACTCCGTGCCGAGTCTGATGTAGCTTTGGAGGTTAGACAGGCCCGGTTTCATGGCAGCTTAAAGGCCTCGAATCATGTTGGCATCATCACGAGAGAGTAAACCATTCCCAACTGATTTAGAAGAACGTTTTCCAGGCCACATCAGAAACCGATGTAGAAGTGTCACTCGTATCCTGGTTGCCTTTAGATCACTCTGGGCTCTTTGCTCTAAAGGGTTAATAAGACACAATGAAACCAGTTGCCTAGAGCCCTGACCACTTTTTTCCATTCTTGCTGGAAAGTTTCCAGTGCTATTTATATGAAACCTCAGGCCCCACAATCAAGAAACCCACTTGGCTGGGATCAAGTATTATCCATTATCCCGAAGTTCAGCTTCACTCAAAGAGTACTGCATTAAAAAACCATCAGAAATGGCAGAGACATGCTGGAATCGGTGGTCCGTATCATCTCTGTGGACACAGAACTATCTGCAGCGAACAAGTAGGCAACATGTACAAGCAGCACCGGAGAAATCAATCCACATGACCTAACGACTGTTGTATAACCAAAGAAAATACAGCACATCTAATCTGCCCCGGGTCTGATAGATGTGTAGTAAAAGACCAGATATGTGAAGAGAACCAAACTGTTTTTTTTTTTATTCTTTTCAAATCCATGTTCACAGGGGCCGATGTTTAGTTTTGACCATAATATCATCATATTTTAAAGTAAGATTAATACCGGTATTATTTACAGAAGCCTTGAAGGCGTAGTCAAAGTGTTCGGCTCTGTGTGAGTGAGTGGTTTTAGTGAAAACTACAACTTAAGAACTCTATACTACTATTATTGTTCAATTTTCTGTGAGTATAAGCTGTTTAATGTGGTCTTATTAAAACACAATCCCAGGAGAGGGCAGTCAACGACACAACTGAACCCATCAAACATCTGCAGCTTATCAGGAGACACAAACACACAAATACAGTGCATGGTTGCTCTTTGATTCACACTTTAATAAAGGTTTCTAATAAAAGATGGATTTGCCTTTCCTTGTTTCTGTCACATATTCACTGTTACAACACTGTACATGTATGTACTGTATCTGTACATGTTAAACATGGTAAACACGTCCAAAGTTAAAAACTGTGGCTCAGAGGATGAAATTTGGGTCAATTTTGCGCTGTCTTCTTTTTATGAGGGGCAGTCAATCAGAAGACAGTTGGGTTGCAGGGGGGAGGAGCCAAACTGAATGTGTGTTGTGTTGTAGCTACTTTTGGCTCATCGTTAGCTAGCACCCTTCCAGGGGTGAGGTATAAAATATGAATCCCTGTAGAGTTACTATAGATGCCAAAAAAAAAACCCACACCTTTAAAACAGGTGATAAATTCTGTGGTAAAGTTGGAGATTTAACACGCGAGTCTGTGGGGACCCACTCACTTTCAGCCGGCCTCATGTGGCCATCAGAGGACCTGCAGCCTTGGTGGCCACTGCCTGTTTTCCACTTAGATCATTAGTTCAGACTGCAGGATACACACCTGCAGTGTGTGTCGGCTCCTGGACAGATGTGCATCTATCTCGTGGGCGTAACTTTTATAGTGGGCTTGTCCGGATGTCCTGATGTCAGCTGCTGAATTCATGGTAACTGTGACATCTTTGATATTGAACACATTTGAAACAAAAAGAATGCGTTAAGGTTCCAGTTTACTCACAAATATCGAGCCTGTGCTCATAAAAAAGGTTAATTTTTATTTTCCGTATGTTTTTCACAGAATCAGGATAAAAGCTGATTTTGGACCGTGTGTCAGTGCCGTCACTGCGCCCCCCTCCTCTTCCTCCTCCTCCTCTCAGCAGACGGACGCATCCATGGAGATCCTGTGCAGCCTTCCTCAGCATTACCACTTCCAAAACCACATTCCAACATGACATAAGAAGACAGACCGGCTTTTCTAAGCAGCAGCTCGAAGCCTTTTGGTCCGTTTCTTTCTTTCCTTTCTTTTTCTTTTTCTCAGCATCCCATTCTTAACTTTCTGCCCGCTTCCTCTCTCACTTCTTTACCCGTCTCCGGGAGAGAAGTCAGTTCCCCGGGAATTAAAGGAGGTCGCTGGGTTTTCTTCTTTTCCTTTTCGCTTCTTTTTGGTACTTCTTGGATGCGCATGGATGTGGCAGCAGCGGAAGCGGGGACGTCTCTGCCGGGTATCCGACTCCGGAATCGGGCGAAGCAAGTGATGCCGAATCAGAAGAAGGTGAAAGCGCGGCGGAAACGGCGAAAGGAGCTGGTTTTAATCCAGATCTGCTTGTTCGGCGGTTTGCTCCTGGTCGTTAAAGGGTTTTCCTCCTTAGCGGAAAATTCAGGTGAGAAATCAGCGTTTGCTGAATTCGCCCTCAGCGATACAGCCTTCTCTTTTACTTCCTCCACGTGTTTGCCTTTTATTTCCTCCCCCTTTCTCCATCTAACACAGAATTTAAACACGGCGTCGCGGAAACTGTAGAAATGTACAGTGTTGTAAATATTGTGTGTGGGTTTTTTACAAAACAGACACTTTATTGCTGGCTGCATTCCATTTGGTCAACAATCAGGAAACGAGGGGTGAATGAGTAGGGAAGTGAAACCTGCTAATAACTGTAATAATGATACAAGAAACAGAGAAGTAGAAATAACTGTAATGTTCAAATGTCGAATTGCTCCATGTTGTTAATATTCCTCTAACTTAGCAACTGTACCCAAACGTCATCACCCATGCGGTACAGTGCCGTATAATGCGCACTCGTGTGAGCTTCAACTATGGGAAACTATTCATGGCTGAGGAATGCAGAGGATCCTGCGTGTTCAGGTGTTTCAGCTGCAGACAGGGAAATGAGGGCAGCGAGCCCCAGGGTATATAAGCCCGCCTGCACCTCTCCAGGTTACTGCAAATGGTTATCAATCAGCCAGCCATTCCTTATTACAGACTCTGCGGTGGAGATGTTAAAAGAAGAGTCGTATAAAATAAGAGCACAGGAAGAAAGACGCGTTCATATGTAAAAGTCACCTTCCTACATAAAAGTGTGCAGTGTCTCTACGGCTCAGTTTGGTAACGTGTGGCACCAAATCTTAAACTTGATAACCTCACAATTAAAGAACAGCCTGGAAATAAAATTATTAAAACTGCTTTAACTTCTGCAGCTACAAAGCGCTGAACCACCCCAGTCTCTTCAGTAAAATTCTCATTAGCAGTATCATACTTGAAGTCTTTGGAAACTTGCGCATATATCAAGTTAGCTTTAACTCACAGACACAAAGATCCTTATGAAACACTTCAAAACAGGGAAATCTGAGACGCCTCCTTTTGTTCTGCAAATCATGACAATACTTTTACAGGTGTTTTATGTAATATCAGCTTGCACACAATAAACAGTCTGCATACATAATATGGTTCACTGGATATTACTGATGTGGTTTGATAGGATTTCTTTTTGCTGAAATGATTTGCAGCAGCACAACATCTGCATGCCTCGACTTGATGCCTGCATGTTCCTCCTCCTCTGTTTTTGTCTGTGTGACTCAGCTAAAGTGAGAAGTATTTATCACTTTCTGTGGACAGAAGGTCTTCGTGAATATTCATACGCTCGTGATTAGTGCATCATCGGTCCTTCCTCCCCACTGTGTTACACGCAAAAGCAGCTCTGCGAGAACAAGAGGCGACACGTTTAATGCATCTACCCTGTCCTGTTGTGTTCATGTTAACTCTTAATCAGCGCACTGGAATATCAATTAAAGTTGATTATTTATGATGCGCCTAATGAAGTTCTGCCAATTTAAGCTTGGTGTTGTGGCTCCGCAAGTGGAGCACTCACCGCCTCCTCGCGGGGCCGCATTAATCATTCCCGCGCTTCCCTTCTTATTCCTCTCCTTCTTCTTCTTCTCCCGGTGCAAGATGGTAAAAGATACAGAGGGTGGGAGGAAGATTGCACCGCTGACACGCACACCTCAGTGCTGCTGTGGCTGCTGCTGTGTGGTGTGGTGAAGGTGAGGCTAAGCGAGGAGTTCAGCCAGGCCCCGAGGACGTTTGTTTTGCTTTTTAATTCTTTTCGAATCTTCGTCTTTTGCCAGACTTGTGGTTGGCAGGGTGGAAAGACCATAGTGCTTCTGCTGAGCTCTGTGAAGTATGAAATTAATTCATTGGTGTTGCTGCTTTCTTGAAGAATGTGCAGATGTAGCCACAGTGGGAGCCCCCACATTGTGCACTGTTGCTCCACCCGCCCAGAGGATTTAGTTTTGGAAAATCATGAAATTCCCCTTCAATGTATGAATTGTGGGAGATAAAGGGTAGAGGTGGAGGAGAAGGAGGAAGCACCGAATTGACACATCTGTGGAGCTCTGCTCCAGCTGTTCGCTATCCTAACATTACATAAAGAATCAAACTTTAATGTGGCAAAGAATGCAGAACAGGGCATTAAAAATAAATCAAAATGCTTGACATGCACTTTGCTATCTGCAACATCTCTGCTAAACTAACAGCTTAAAGGCATACAGCCGAGTCCATGTATGTAAACATGGAAATGAGGAAAGTTTTAGGATTTAGATCCAGAGCAGGATGATGATCAACGGTGAGCACGCCATCTTTACAAAATGATGTCAGTGAAAATGAAAGGAGGATGTGTCCATGAGGTCTCAGAGGATTGCTTCTAAACCACTTCTGAGGAGAAAACAAGCAAATTTCACAGCATTTCATGGAGGATAGTGGAGAAAAGTCTTCTTTACCGATAAATTCAACTTAGAGATTAGTGTCAGTGTGATAAAGGTGTATGTAGGGAGACTAACAGGAGATACCGCAGTGGATTAAACCCTCAGTAACCAGTGTTGGGCAAGTTACTTTGAAAAAGTAATTAATTATAGTTACTAGTTACTTCTTCAAAAAAAGTAACTGAGTTAGTAACTGAGTTACAAGATTCTAAAAGTAATTACTTGAAAAGTTGCGTTACTTTAAAAAAATGTTTAACCCTCTGGGGTCCAGGGTATAATTGGCCATTTTTAACTACTTTTGAATTGCACCTCTATATTTCACCTTTGAAAACTATTTCCTTTGCCTTGTTTGGTATCATCCTTTTGACAACAACACTACACGCTAACTACACAGGACAACACATTAACTACACACTCCAAACACGCTAAACGTCACAAATCTCTCACATCTCAAAACTTGATTGGTCGACATGGTGCATTTTTCCACCAACACCAACAGGCTGTTTTTTGTTTTGTTTTTTTATTATTTGCTCATAAGCAGAGAGGTCTCGCTGCGCTGTCCTTAGACAGTAAACGTGACGAAGCTATTCAGGAAAAAACGCTGTGTATATCTTGTTTATCATGACTCTGGTTTTAGTGGCCTATCAACACAATTTATAAACTGGTATATATCACCTTGTTGCTTTGTCATCTTAAAGTGGTCATGTGATTGGCTTACCATGACTACTTTGTTCTTCGTCAGTCAAACAGCAGCACTCATGCGATTGTTTTGCTCCCTGAGCTCAAGGTGTTGTGGGAAAAAGTGATCGTGGGACAGAAAGTGATTGCGGTAAACTGAAGACAGCTTCAACCATCTGTTTGTTGAAAAATAGTAACGCCACCGCACTGCATTTTCTTGTTAGTAACGAAAAGGGCGTTGTAACGATAGAAATAGTATTAGTTAGATTACTCATTACTGAAAAAAGTAACGCAATTAGTAACGCCGTTACTTGTAACGCTGTTATTCCCATCACTCCCAGTAACAC